CTTTAACAAGCGTTTCAGTCATTCTATGAAGTTACACCCAGATTAAATTCCAATAAGAAAAACTATTTATCTACAGACGTATACATATATCTTTCTATCTTTCTGTATGATCATCTGTTATAAAGAGATAAAGAAATGTGAACATAAAAGGAACATACCTATATATGAAGTGGAGCACATACTGAATATATATTCAGAAAATTATGCACAGATACAGAAAGATTTTACAAAACAAAGCAATTCATATGAAGGAGCATGGTTCCAAATCTTATGCATTCTCTTACTCCTACGCTTTTGGTTATTGCCCTGACAGTATATCTAGTACTCGAAGAAATCTTCGGCTAATAAGAAGAATACATTGCAAGTCCCACAGAAAAAAACACTAAAACGGTAGCGATCTCTTCTGTTGAGACGCCACTGGTTTCGACGATTCTTCTAGTCCAAACAGTAATCTGTTGTCATACTTAAACTGTGGATAACTGTCTTTATCTTTACTAGAAAGGAAATCCTTAAACAGTTGTTCATATATGTTACATATCTCAGCAGCTATGAGTTACGGAACCGACATCTATGTATCTATATCTATATCTATGTATAACCTCTGTATAAAATGATAAGCAATTTTGATGTGGTTGTGAATGTATAATGATACTGCGTATTATAATTGTAATTTTCTCTGCCATAAAGAAAAAAAAGCAACATAATATACAATTTATTAAGAGAACAGTAGCTATTTTTTCAAGTATAATAAACAAAATATACAGAAATACTAATCTATCATTTGATAAAGACTAAGAATTAGTTAGAATGTGTATGTGTGTGTGCGTGTGTACTCATAAGACTCTTTGTATAATGTGAATCTGTTTTTTATTTTTCGGTATACACATTATTGTATGCACAAACCTACAATACACATACATATTATGCATGTGCATTGCTATTGCAGAGGGCTCGTATTTGTGGCTTTGTAATTAAGAAAATCATAATGGTAGAATATATCACATTTATTTTGCATAACTGTATAAGAGTAAGTCTGCATTATCAGACGATATAGTCTTTATAATGTAAATATAAATAACATAAGTTCGGCGGTCGAGAGAGACAGTTGCTTAATAACAAGCTCAGTCATCATGAGGAGCACCATAGGAGCGGGAGACTTCTCCACGGGCCCTGCGGGCGTCCTCTTCAGCGGCGAAGGCGATCTGCTCGAGTACGAAGTCAGGGATTGGGTGGGGGAACTCGGGAGCCACTGGCAGGTGGTCACCCTGTGGCTTGAAGCCGCCCTCGTCAGCTACGTATTGAAGGTGGACGTCAGTGCCGTCAGGAGCGGTGTATCTGAAATGAATAGTGCTTACTTTTTTAGATTCCAATCATTGTCAGAAGATTTTGACTGTTATTTTAAATCTAATTCATATAGATAGCCTGCCTGTTAAACCATTTACTCACGAAAAGGAACCAGCACTGTTGATGGCTCCCTCGTCTCCAGGAGAGCCAGATTCAGACATGACGATTCCGTTGGCACTTTCCATGTCGAAGTTGTACCTTCCGTCGTCCTCGATCACGCGGTCGTCCCTCAAGATGGCGATCTCGTCGGAATCATCCCGAGCTGGGGCCTCATACAACCGATCGGCAAATGCCACGGCGACAAGGAGGGCGAACACTACCTGTAAAACATGATGAATGAAGACTTTCCAATTTTCCACTATTTGAGTTAAATCGCCAACTATGGAAAAAGTGACTTACAAACTTCATGTTGAACGAACTGTATCTCACTGATACATTGCATTCGAATGCTCCATTTATATTGCAAGAAGGATACAAAGTTGCCAGTTGTCATCATCAGTATACAGCATACCCTATATTTGTGATGTGATATCATCCAAAAATGGATATGTTTTTACGTGACAACTTATCGACTTCTACTGGGATCTGTATAATTCTAGATGTTTAGTGGAATCTCTCTCTCTCTCTCTCTCTCTCTCTCTCTCTCTCTCTCTCTCTCTCTCTCTCTCTCTCTCTCTCTCTCTCTCTCTCTCTCTCTCTCTCTCTCTCTCTCTCTCTCTCTCTCTCTCGCTCTCTCTATTTGTATTATATATATAATCTTTCTCTTACTGGCTTACGTTATGCTTATATAGATTAGAATGAGGAGGGGGAAGCATAAGATTTAGATAATTTTAGGAAATATATATTTTTACTTAATTATATTTCTACTTTTCCACTTTGAAATGATGGCCCTATCTACTTGTTAAGTGATCAAATGTTATGGTAAAGTTCTAGTTGTAGTGAAGTCCTGAAGCGTTTGGGAAAGTGTGGAACACCAAAAAGAATGCGAAGGATCGTTTATTGAGCAAGAGATAAATTATTTGAAAAATAAGATGAAAGTAGTCGAGAGAATCCCTAGTTGACAAGGGTTGATATATATGAAATAAAAATATCAATAATATCTCTCCACGATTAATGAAATGGAGTATCTAAGATAACTGATACAGAGGCTATCTGCTGTATGGTACACTATCATTGAAATAGTTTCACCTTCATTCCTGAATAAGGCTATGCTGGAAACGAAGTTACTTGTCAATATTGTATTTCGGAATCCAAACTACTGGACCGAGAGACCGAGAGATTTCGAGCTTCTAAGGTTTTAAAAATTTGAATGAAAGATAAATCTTAGAAGCGTTAGAGAGATCGTCTTTTCAATGATCGACAAGAAGGGTAAGTCTATTTACAGAACAATATATTTCGTGTTTTAGGAAGTATGGCATTTCACTCAGAAGTATTGAAATCCAAGATGATTTTCAGAGTATATTGTAAGAAATATAGCATTTTGAAAAAAAGTATGTGATAGGCGTGAAAAAAAATCCTAAAATCCTAAAAAAAGAAAAGAAAAAACGTATTACCAAAACATAATTTACCATACACTTCCACTTCGAATTCCAGTATAAATGGCAGTTTACGACAATTTCGAGTAGACAGGAAATTAGCACGGCGTGGCCCAGCGTTTGAAAATATAGTTATGCGGAAATACAAAGAAGGAAAGAAGATGAGATCTATTAGTTATGCAAATGTACAGTAAGAAGTATAGAGGCAACAAGTAAGTGGAGGATAACCAATGTGGTATGAGATATGGAAAAAGTTTCGCTTATTAATCAATGGGTGTTCATATGCTAAAGTAAGTTTGTATATATCTCTTGGAGCAGAAATGATATAGTAAGAGATTTGCAATAAAGAAGAAACGAACTTTAACATTCAGTTTTTAGATGTACCTACATAGATAAGTGTATGTATAATAATATAAGTGCACATTGCCACTGACAAGAAAATGTATTCAAAATCTATTATAAGCCTTTATAATTCCTTGGGTTTTGAAAATCAAGCAGCATACAACTGATATATGCAATAATATAAACTAGTCTATATTTATAAATATGCTAATCAGTATTTTTTTCTAGGGAAGCCATCATCAGTTCAATAGCCGCAAATCATAAACGATTCTTGCGAATATATTCTTCGGTAGCAAATGCCAATGAACTAACAAAAGGATTGTATGAAGGGACCTGAGTTGAAAAGAAGAAGGGCAGCAGTGAAAAAAAAAATACACTGGCACTGCCTTTCGTTAGAGACCAGCAACATTTATCTCCAAATGATGAAACAATTTAGACACGACTAAAGCTGTTGTCGTTATCATGTGATCAGGTTTAATTCAAAATGATACTCATTTAAAGGTTATAGGAACAATACATAAGAATGACCCCCCTTCCCACATACATATATATACATATATATATATATATATATATATATATATATATATATATATATATATATATTAAGTCCATGGCCATCAGTTCATGACGATCGAGATATTGATAGTTTAAGATGAAAATCAGAGTTCTGTAGAATTAAAGGTGTATTAGGAGGAATCGTATATATATGATTGTATGTGTGCGTGTGTGTGCAAATACTCACACACACACATTTGTATGTGTGTGTGTGTGCGCGTGCGTGTGTGTATTTGAGTTAGGTACAGATGCGTGTCTGTGTTCGGTAGTCTGTAGATGAGAGACCAAATGTGCAATAAAAATGCAGAAAGAAAGGCTGATACCAAAGCCTTTTATATTAAGTATTACAAGTATTTTGGGTAAAGGGAAAGGCTTATAAAATATGCATTTCATTTATGCGTTAACAGATGAAAACCTAACTACATCAATATATATACACATAAGTACAATGTCAACAGATCGACAACCGTGAATTATCACGTAGTTGTTGAAGGGCTTTAGTCATCATGAGGAGCACCATAAGACCGTGAAATCTCTCCACGGGCCCTGCGGGCATCTTCCTCTTTGGCAAATTCGATCTGCCTGAGCACGAAGTCGGGGATTGGGTGGGGGAACTCGGGAGCCACTGGCAGGTGGTCGCCCTGGGGCTGGAAGCCGTTCTCGTCAGCTATATATTTGAGGTGGATATCGGTGCCATCAGGAGCGGTGTACCTGTCACGAACAAGGATATCAGTACATAGTACGCATTCAAGAAATTAAATAGTAGCTTTATAGCATAACTAGCATCTTCAGACTGTAGGAGTTGCTTTATAATTTGGGGGGAAATCCTGATATTTTGAAAGTGCAATCGCCTAAGAGTCTAAACCATCTGAGGTTACTTACGAAAAGGATCCAGCACTATTGATGGCTCCATCTTCTCCAGGAGAGCCAGACTCGGACATGACGATTCCGTTGGCAGTCTCCATGTCGAAGTTGTACCTTCCATCGTCCTCGATCACGCGGTCGTCCCTCAAGATGGCGACCTCGTCGGAGTCATCCCGAGCTGGGGCCTCATATAGCCGATCGGCAAAGGCCACGGCGACAAGGAGGGTGAACACCACCTGTAAAACATGATGAATGAAGATTGTCCAATTGGGGCCCGATAACTATTTGAGTTAAACCGCCAACTATGGAAAAACGTGACTTACAAACTTCATGTTGAACGAACTGTCTCTCACTGAT